CCCGCCCCCAAAAGCCACAAAGAACATTTAAAAACGACAGTAAAGTTTCTTAAATTTTGAGGGGGGGGGAGGGGGGGGAAAATCTACACTGCTGTACATATACACATTACTTACATTACAAAATCCCAGAGAAATATCTGCTGTATCAGCTATGCTCTGCTCATTTCCTCTCCCTGCGAAGCGGCTCCCTTTGGGTCAAACACCGTTCCAATCTGTGAGCAATTAAGTAACGGCTACAGGGATTTTGCAGACTCGTCTGACATCACGCTCCAAACCCACACCTGAAATAGCAACAGTACCGAGCAGGATTCTGTCTGCCACTCGTGTAGCTGTATCGCATTCCATGAAATTAACTCACATGTGAATTTGTTCTGCTCCGATTCTTAAGGACTAACAAAAAATAGGTCTTTTGCTCTGTCATATAAAGAGCTCAGACAATCTGCCCAACGTAGAAAGCAGTTACCACCCGGCATAATCTGGTAATAACAATATACAAAAATGATACCAGTCAAGGTGGAGGGAGAAGGAAAAGATCTGCCAATACGTTAAAAATAGAATACAAGGGCTCACAAGTTCCCCAGCAAAGGTTTGCTTGCAAGGTCATACTCATTACAAACGCATTCACAACGCCCGAAGTCCAGAACACGCTGTGGGCTGCAGCGCAGAAATCCAGCGCCTCGCAGGGAGATGGTAACAGTTCCTGTAGAGAGCAGCCAGGCTGTGCTGGAGGTCTCTCACCTTTGGGAATAAGTGTCCGTTTAACTTCTGCACAGGAGCAGAGGAAGAACAAGTTTCATCTCTGCATAAAGTTTTTTTCCAAGGCAGCAGGCGTTCTCTGAAGGGAGTGGATATTGCGTTTCACCCGATCTTCTAGGGTGGAAGTAGATGCGCTCTCTAGTTTTAAGCGACTGTAGAGAATTGAACCAAAGAAAGATATCAGAATCTCTTCCCAAACATTACACCATTTCTCGCAGGATTCACCGTCCCCAAGTCATCTACCTAAATCTAACATCAAAAAAATAAATTATTTCCTATTAAAATCTGCACTGAAAGAACTGAATACCTCTTAGTTTGGCTTGTAACAGATTCAATGCCTTATTTAAGGTCAGTGCTCAGAAATATATTTTCAGTAGCTCTCAAGTCTCTGTCTTCCAAATATAACTAAGTGTTAATTACAAACATTAAGCATCCCTCACAAGGGACTTGGTTGCTTTCTGCGAAGCAAACAAGGGAAAAGCAATGCCTTCCTGAACTGAGGGCCGCGGTCCTCTGGGAGCCTGAATGCCAGAGCTCATGCTGTAAATGCCTACGTGAGCTACAGGAGAGACAAGGGATCCTCGTGACCACTCGTTGTCTTTTACTGCATCTTTTTCAGCTCACACTGCTGTGTGTGCTTTTCTGAATGATCTCCTCATGCCCATCTCCCTCTTCAAACAACGCGCCAATAAACACAAAGTTTGTTAGCTCAACCAGTTGCTTCTGCACAGGGAAATGCACAAAGAACTCTCTCCACAAAAGATTTTGCTCATGGAGGAAAATCTATTGTGATTTTAAGCCACTCTTATGTGATCCCAGCTCTGGGCAGCTTCAGGAATTAAGCATATGTTCTCCTCTGATTAATTTATAGAGCCTGGAGAATGCTATGCTGCAGCAACTCCAAAATACGTAACACTGCCACGGGATCTTTCTTACACGCCACTGGACTTTCTGGAAGGCCTTGTGCCACTCCGATTTCCTTTGCCTGCTGTGTGTACAAGGGACTGTAAGTTACCACCCGTGTTTAGAAACGGTCTTATTTCTTGCTGAGCACAGGTTACAGTCCCACAAACTTTTGGCACACAGACTCCCAGTGGATTTGCAGGCCTAAAACTGTTTGCAAGCTCCTAAAAACAGAGAACTTTTTAATATCTGCATGTAAAACACTACTAGGCATTTCTACAGGACGGCAAAAAAATACCGATTACCGGTTTCAGAGTCTGACTACCAAGGCCATCACAGAAAGAGCTATCTTTTGCATTAAGAGAAGGATTTGGGAACAGTAGACATCACTAGTTGTACCGTACAACACAGCAGAGACGGATCGTATACCATAATCTGAGATATCTCAAACGTTGAGGCCACGACTCACTCTTCAGAAGCTGTGGCCTGTATTTCCCTTGAATGAAAAAGCAGGTAATAAAAGACACTCACTTGAAGAACTTCCCATCTCGGGAGTCAAGTTTCTCCAGTTCTCGCTCCAGCTCCTCCTCCTTTCGGTGTTTCCTGAGGTTGTTTGCTCTCTCCTCTTCCCGCCACTTGGCATTTTCCATCATTTCCTGGCGTTTACGCTCTAGTTCCTCTGGAGAGATCTTTCTATTTGTGTAGAAAACACCACTGCTGTGAATCAATAGCATGCTGGGCCCCACCCCCCTCTTGCTTTCCATTCTTTAAGATGATTTACAATCCCCTAAATTAGGGGTGTTTAACATGTTTTTTTCTTTGGTAGCCAACCAGCAAAGCTTGTAAATACGCATCTAAATGTTCCGCTTTACCACGCCCCTAGCAAGAGTCTGTTTTCTCCCTCTTTTCAGCCTTCTTGTTTTTAATTGACTGGTAAGATGATGCTGTCAAGGTCATATTTTCCTGATGACAGTGAAACAGAATGCTTCTAATTAACAGTCCACGGGACAAAGACTGACTTCACATTACTGCCTTGCACAGTGATGCAAGACACATGGAAAACCAACAACCACATGAATCAGTTTGGGAAGCTGTCCAAGATGTTAACTAACAATCAAGCTCAAGAGCACTAAACTGAGCACTTTAGGACGCTCTGTCCAATCTTCTGGACATCCGATCCAATCTATTTTACTTAAGAGAATAAAATTTGGTTCACGGATTACACCCAGAAGTTTCACAATCGCCAGGGCAACTTCCATCCAAAAGCACAGGGAGAAGATCTTGCTTACTTTGTGTAACCCGGAGCATGCTGTCGTCGATAGCTCTTCTTAGGGGAAGGGCTTCTAGCTCTCCCTTTCTCCTCCCGACTACTATGTCTGTAACCCAGAAATACCCTTATTAGGACAGAATAACATCCTTTATCACACCTCTAAACTTTCCCCGGATTTTTTTAATACATTCTGAAACCAAGATGTCTCCCATAACTGCAGGACTGTCACCTGTCCACTTTGAAAACAAATGCTAGTGACCCTTAATATACCACAAATTGCCATCTATTTTTACTCAGTTTTAATTATTTCATCAGCAAACAATAAATACCTGGTACCTGATTTTATCAGCATTTAGTAAAGATAATTCAACAATTAGAAACACATTTTAAAGAGAATTGGTGGCCCAATTAAAGCACAGTTACAAGCAATACCTAAAGGGTGTACCTAGAAAGAGTGTCCCAAATGAACAGTAACTGCAGACAGCATGTCCCCTCCAGGAGCTGACCTGGGCGCTTCTGCATTCTTGCACAAGTGCACCCAGTTTTTACTTTGCTCCTGCCTTTACACCCAGAACTGAGCAATAATGTGGCCAGAACACTAAAGTAGTAGGAGGAGACTGAGTAAGAGGGATTTTGATCCTAGAGTCCTACATTTACATTATCCAGGTTAGCCACACTCACTGTTTGCTGTGTCTAGAAGGAGATCTTGAGCCCCTGCATCCAGATTGTTCTGAATTCTTCTTGCTAGAGCGTCTCTGAGGAGAGCGGGACTGGCTCCTGGACCTGGAGCGATCCCGGTGCTTGTGGGGGGCCCTCTCCTGGACGGCAGCTGGAGAGCTCCGAGACCTGTGGCTCTGGTCAGAGTTTCTAACCTGGAATTCAAAAGTGTCTTTCAGGAGAGACGTCTTGTAAGAGCACAACAACAATGTACGGCCACACAGGAGACCTCAGACTAGGCTAAGTGCAGGAAGGAGTGCGCATTGTGGTTTGCTTTTACTTATCCCACTTACCAGGTTCTTATTAACACCTGTGTCTGAAAAGATTATTTCCATATCACGTTCAGTAAACTAAACTGCCAAGACAGCCCAGCAGAGTATTTAAACAGATGTGTGACAATGAAAAGAAACTGAATAAAACCTAACTTGAATTCAGAGCAGACAAAAGCCCTACCAGGATCTGAACAACTTTAATTTCAAGGCTTAGATGGCTCCAAACTGAATATGAACTTTACTATACCATGTCCCTCTCATAATCCTCTTCTAGCCGGTGAAGCAGTCTTGCAAAAAACTGCGAAAACTCTTGTTCTTCCTTAACTCAGGGCACTTGCTACTGAAAGAGCTGTGCGAAACACATGTACTTACTTGTAAGCCATATCCCGGGACTTTGGAAGGAGCAGATTTCCAGGAGGAGCTGTTCATCCTCTTCTGAGACCTAAAAACAGAATAGTACTTTTGAAGCAGACAACATTCAAGAATACAGTATTTTTTTAACAGAAAAACGTCATTAAAATAATTTAATGATGCAAAAACAATGAAGTGACATATAGAAACATTTAGGCAAATGAAGAGCATTAATTAGAAAGGTAAGACCCAGAGGGATTAGAAAAAGACATGAAAACCAAACAAGTTAACCAGGAAACATGGTATTTCCTACAAAACCTCAAAACATACCTATTTTTGCTTCGATCCTCATCACTGCTGTCACTTTCACTGCTAGAACTGCGATGCCGATGTTTCTTGTGCTTCTTCTTCTTCTCTTTCTTCTTCTTTTTCTCCTTTTTATCTAAACTGTTTTGTAGCTATAAAGCAAGACATCGTTTCATTAGTAATAATTACTGCCTCTACACTTGGGCAGTCAGTATCACAAGGCAAAGTAAGAGTTTTCTGTGGAAAGGCTCCTGGAACAAAACCTAAACCATTTAACAAGGTTCTCTCTCAAAACTAAAGACCTTAATGGAGTCTACCCTCGTGTCAGTTTGATATAGTGCATGTCAAATCCTATGTCTGCAATCATTCTGCAGTACTAAATCATCAATTAATCACTAGCTCAAAAAAAAAATAAGCACACCAGAAGAGCAAGAAGAGTAAAATAAAACACTGAACTTGAAAGGAAGTTCCTGCTGAGAGACTGATACAGAACCTTGTTCTACTATATTAGGATTCTAGAAAGCTAAATTTATTCTGTTTTTCTGGGAAGAGTCAGGAAACGGAACTCGGCTCCTTATCCTAAACAATACTAGTTTTGACCTATGATCCTCCCCTTGGTTCAGTGTATTCTGTGCTTTGCGTCTGTAAAGGAGTACTGAGATACACCTACCAATTCTTTGATTTTCTTCATTTTAACAGGATTATTCAAAACTTCTCTCTTCTTTTCCTCCTCCTTCTTTCTAAAGCAGAAAAAGACCCCAGTATTTTCAAACAACCGAAAATACCATATTTTCATGAAAGATACCAAACAAGTGCAAGCTCTAAAACCATACAGAGCAGGAAAACAGGCAAGTTTTGTACATTCAGCAAAACAGATCCAACTAAGGAGGAGTCTGTCCTTTTCTTCTCCACTTAAGAGTGCAACTACTAGGGTAAACAAAAATTTGTTCTGTTACCATCAATCTGCCTACAACGCTAATACATGCCTGAACTATCAGAGCAGACCAAATATATTCACATACACATAAAAGGGTGAGCAAAGCTGGTAGAGACAAATCAATGTGGAATAACAATCTCTTCAATTACATGTATTTACCAACTTACAGCTAGATGATCTGTAAGATGATCATCAGCTTGTTCAGATCACAGAATCTTAGATTTGAAATCAAGTCAGCAAAATTATCCAAAAGCAGCAAACTGACTCAAATGCGTTATTTGACGTTATGTTACTGTGTTTAGAACACACGACCAAAACCCTCTTAGTAATTTAAGTGGCTGGTGACCTCTCTGCAGCCAGGACTGCCACCTACGGCCTAGAGCTCACAAGCAGGCAGACACAGCTTTGAGGAAAAGACACAATAGCAGTCTTTACAAAGACAAATGAGACAGCTCTTTGTAAGCTGCTAACACTGATGCTTTGCCTCATCTACTACTGCTTTGAGCTCTACATTTAGTACCTTATCATGAAAAGTGGATCCTCACGGATTTTGTTTGCCATATCTAGGACAGAATTGGCACCTGTCTTGGCAAAAATGGAGCCTGGGAGAAGTCCTGTCTCATTGGAACAGCCTGCATCCTTATCTTCTGTCTTCTCAAAGACGTATTTGTCCACAGGGCGACCCATAAGATATTCCTCTCTGTTCACCATGCCTCCAGGACCCTGGTACATCCACTCCAACTTCTCTTCTCTTTTCCTATTGCAAAAAAGACCACCTCATTTATCCTTCTCGCAGTCCTAAAGTTACATTTTAAGGCACTGGCTTATGAATGCGAGCATAAACACTTTATCACCCGAAACAGCAAACCCATGGCTCTCTCAGGGGCACTGAGAGCACCCATACCACCTCACCGGACAGTGCTCGCCTGCAGAGGCTTGCAATGGTAACAACCAGTCTGGAGGGCACCAGCCCCACCTCACCTGACGGTGCCCATGTCCTCAGCGTATCGCTGCATCTCCTCGCGTGCTCGCTCCTCCTGCAGCTCCCGCTGCAGCTCCTCGATCTTCTTCCGCTCGGCTTCATGTTTCTGCTCGGCTTTCCACACCTTCTCCACATTGCGCAGGGT